CAAACCCGGAAAATTTCGCAGCTTGACGCCGCGAGTCCCCGAACTTCCGCGAGAGGAGCGTTGGAGCACCCTCAAGGTGGAAACGGAGCGTCATAGAAAGCTGTGAGGAGAGGACAAAAAGGACATATCGTCCGATACTTAAAGTCCGCTCTATCATCACCAAAACCGTATTTTTCTGAAATCCTGCTAAGTAAGCTACAACGAGCTCCTGAAGAGAGCCGATCGACTCCCCAGTCGCCGCGGCGTCCCGGAAGCTCATCGCGGTCTCAACTGATGACGCGATCTTCTCGAACGAGAGACGATTTTCTCGTGGCGGAAGATCTGAAGTATGAGAGGGTAAAGGATAATGGTTCAGACAGATTTGATTGAGAGGAAGCAGCCGGAGAAATTGACGCAAGACTGACCAAGATGGACTTCAAAACATGGTATGTTATTCTCATTCTTGTAAGGAAAAGTATTTAACAGTGACTCCAACTATTATTCAGGCAACTGCATGGAAAATCGGTTGTCCATCTCACGCTTCACATTGCCTATTTCCTCCTTTATGTTGACTGGGGCTGCTAGCGCAGCATCTTCGACGGGATTATTCAGCTTGTCTCGAGATCCGCTACTTGATTATTTCTGCGAGTTGAAATCATCGCTATCATACATATGAACCGTAGATATATTCTGAATCATTGCTCCTCTTGCGGGCGTCGACGTTCTAATCGTCATCACAGTCTTTCTCGCTGTGGGTGCCGTCAACGGCACGGCGCTGGTATCGTGGTTTTATCATCCCGCATCCTCGATTACTCCCTCCAAAGAAGATTTCCTCGTCCATGAGATGACGGTACAGGGCTCAGCCAAGCGAAACCTCTTCATCGCTGTGGGTCAATGGTCGGAATTTTCAAGCTGCCCTTCGAATCCGAGCAGAGCGCGGTTCCTTTGCTGCGCAAGGAATTCTCGAATTTCTAACCTGCGCTTTCGTGCATGATCTTCGACTCCACCCGATGCTCGATCGGAATCTTACTCATCCATATTCTTGCATGATCGTAGTCCTGTTCCAAATTACCATGATGGTGGTCGTGATGATACATATAGCAAACAATCGCCGCTGTTTAACTGTGTTCCATAGACTAGCGAGTCCCCCTGATATACCACTGTTCTCCCCTCTGAAAGAGCTGTCCATAATGGGGCAGTATTTGACGATGTTCCGCAGAGCCGCGACTTCGCGACCACAATCGTAATATGTGATTCTCTTTGAGATCCCGGAAACGGACGCAGCGTGTTTCACGGGAAATGGACCGGTGAATAAAATGGACTGCTTGCTGCTCTCTCTTCTCTTTCCGGACAAGAACTTGATCTCTCGATTGACACATTTGGCAGTTTGCGAGAATGGGTCTCATTGGAATTCCTCTCTTGTCTCTTTCTCTGTCGCTCCTCATCGGAACTGTACTTTCTCTCCGCCAGCGTCAACTGACCACGAATGCCCAATCGTTCATCCGCAGGGATATGCGAGGGTTTTCCCACAAGGGCAAAAGCGGGCGAGCAGCCGATAGTCCTTCGAAAGGACCTCTCCATATATCTCATGGGTTCCTCAAAGCAACCTTCCCGACTCCCCGGGAAAGTACATTGAGATGAGGATTTTCCAGATGCCGGATCAATCTCTCGGCCAACCCTGCCGACTGCACCAATAGCAAACAACGTTGGTGTTTGACTATGTTTAATAGACAAGCGAATCCGCCTTATATACCGCTACTATACATATATGATCATGAACATCGTTCCATCCATCTTCGAGTCCTTACCCGCACACATTTATTCACTTGCGGTTCGAGAAATGCATATATCAGGCCGAAGAATTCACTGACAGATACGCTACTTTCATATGCACACCCCAAATCCTTCCCTCACAGTGCTTTCGGTCAACAACACAAGTCAAGAGTAACGATCAGAGTCTTGTTCGAGCAAGGAGACGCTTCGCGCCTCACAAGAATGAGTGAGGAGCACACGGAGCGCTGTCGCTTCGTGGGGGTTTCTCCGGAGGCAGACCGTTACAAATACGACTTCCTTGGCTCAATTGCATCACTTGCGAAATTCTACGTGTTTCAGCCTGAGCAGAAATAGGGACACAGGGACGACTCGCCTATGATGGATCGTCTATCTGATGTTTACGATTGAAGCTTCAGGAGTCTAATTCAAAGCACCTCGCTAGGAGAAGAATACAATCTAATGACGGAAAACTCAGCTACAACGGGTATACGAAGCCCATGAGTGATCGGGTCACTGGTGCAGTATTTATAAGAAATGCGGAAGCCAAGGTCGTGATGAAGAATGTTGATCAAGCCTGGGGCGTAGAGAGAATCACGTCAAGCTCGGAGGATTAGTCTGTTTTCGAAGCTGAAGTAAGAGGATGGAAGAATGCGTAAGTAGGGAAGGATTCTCGCGGCGTCGGAGTAAAAGTTCGCCTCACAAGTACTGTGGTGAATTCGAACGCAATCTACCGGTTTGAGTCTGGATGAGCTGACTCTTCAAGGATTCTTTTGGCTCTCCTCCCACCTAAGATGTCTTCCTTCACACCTATCTATCCACAGATCAATTCGAATATACATGTGTCACTCTACAGAAGACGATTGTGGACCAATCAGATGATCGTGAAGCGATGATGAGATGGCTCAAAACTGGGAGCACACCTGAGTCGACTTTTGTTTTGAGAGTTCCGAGCTAGAGATTGGTGTGAATGTAATGGGAACCCGGCATTTTCGCTTTTGCCGCAGAGGTACACCGCCGACTGAACGGCCGTTCGATACTGGTCAGTCCTTCCGCCCCTTTTTGGCACTGGAGCCCTAGAGGCTTCGGAACTTCGAGTGCGGTCTCAGGAGAGGAGTCTGAGGGCTGAAGCTTGCGATTCGCCTACGAAAGACTGCCTCCGGTCCCTCTGACCCCAGATTAGGATGATCGCGTTCCGGGGGCGTATAATCTCATCATGCTTCTAGGTGCTGTGAAAAAGTGTCTGGCATTGTTCGATCGCCATCGCCTGAGAAACACGCCGGGGTCATTGCTCGAAAAAATGGTCACCGTAGGGACGATACCCTCGACTCCCACGCGAGACATTCAGACCGCTCAGAAGACTCAGCCATGCTGTCGCTAGTCTGAGTATGGAGGAAATTCGACGAAGTCAGCCGAAGATACGAAGTCCGGGCTTGCGTTCGTCGAAGCGATGATCGAGAGTATCGAATAGGAGGTCAAGTGCGAAAGAAGCCCAGCCTGGTATCCAGTGATCAATGAGCCAGAGGGATATGAGTTTTTTTGAGAGGAAAAGAGTCGGAAAAAACATGCTTGCTCCCCGTACGAGCTCTCTCACAGCCGAGACATCATATGGACTTCGTCGTAGGCGTGTAGGGCTTCGGAACTTCGAGTCGCTCGGGGGGCTTCCGGGTACATGATGAGCTCCACTTGTCGAAGAAGATGACGAGCTTCAAGCCGCTAAGCGAAACCAGCTCGCTTCCTGAATCCCTGAGTCAAGCCGAACATCTGTATTGCGGTAGCTTCGGGACGCCGCGCCACCGACAGCTGAGGCTCATGTCGTTCCCGGCCAGAATCGTCGAAGCTAAACTCGCGGATCGTAGCGATGCAACCTTCAACATCGATAAATTCAAGCAGAATACTGCGCTCCGAGCGGTCCTCTTCCGAGCAGGATCCAGGGACGCTTCTTCCAGGCTTAATCGAAATTAGTCGCGGCGTAATGCAGCCAGTCTCTACGAGCTCCTCTCGGGAATCTAGATAATTACAAATACTCGGTCGGAGATAGACAACCTTGAAAGATGCGCAAGCGATCACCGAGGAGTCTTTCAAGGTGAGATGAGGTCCAACCAGCGCTCTATCCTGCACAAGATCACATACCTTTGTCCCGTACTCGCAACAGAATACTAGGGTCGATGCCACAACGGTCGCCGGCCCCCAACCCTCAGTGCAGTTCCGAACGCTCGCGAAAGACCTACCGGCGGCGGCGGCAAGCCCTCGAGAGCATGCCTTCCAAGCGCTACGAAAAAGTAAATTCAGAATGGGGTTGTGGCATCGCGCAAGGAGCCCACGGAGAGCCAACACCTCCATCCCTTTGGAATCCCATTGTAGAACCTCAAGGGTCAAGCTTCAGGCTCGCCATCCCGTGCACACTTCCTCTATGGGATGGGGTGACGCGCTATAGAGCGGGCAGCAGTGGATGTCGCGACGCTGTTCCATTCTCCTCCGACTGGTGGAGGTCTGCCATGATATCCGCGAAAATCCCACCCAGCGAAATAACTCGTCCTTGAGATGGCTCCCCACTGCTTGCTCCGCTGAGACAAGCCAGCCCCCGTTTCCTTATGCAGCTGCCGTTTTCGACTCATTGCATTCAATTGTACGCTCCTCCCCGCATGTGTTTCGGTTGCGCAACACGATTCCTGCCCTGTTTCGATCATCGCATGATTCCGTGAGTATCTCCCTCATGGCGGGTTTCCGCATGGGTGACATGTCTCGCTGCTTTATGGGTACGGTCCTCTCAGGAAAGCTGTTCATCTGACCGGCATTGTTCGAGCGGTATAATAGATTTAGCTTTGACCTGCTCCGGGATGACCATGTCCGAAAAGTCTCCTGATCTATATTGCAATCACTCATTATATGGATGATGATGATGATGATGATATGGATCTTCACGAACTTCTTTGAATGGCTTCCAAGTTTTCGGAAACTGTTCTCTCAGCTGTTCAGCTGATATCGGGGCAGAACATGGACGTGTTCTCATGCTGACGTCTTCATCCAACTTCGGCCAGAGTCTACCGCGTTCACTCAAAGCTGGCGGCGATTGGTCATCATCAACTCCTGAGACTATTATCATTCTCTCAGCAGTGCCCGCGGCATCGCTTATAGGAATCCGTGGAGCGGAATCGGGAGCATCCGCGATCCGTGTCATTCTACCTAAACTTATCATGGTCAGTGTTTGTTGTTCTCCGTCAACGCTATCGGAAAAACGATTAGTTGATTCAAAGGCTGGAGATGCGTACAGAAACTGGCTCGTCTCCGATCTGAGAAAGCGGAGAACGGGGTCCGGAAGTTCGGTCTCCATTGGAGCCGTTCTGCCCTGGAGGGATATTGACTACGGCTGTCGTGGTCACCCCTCCTGATGGGGAACTCATCGTCGTAACCGTAGGGGCAGGATTGTTGAGGCTGGAACGTGATGTCAGGCCGGCTGCCGGGATGACGGTGTTAGTCGGGATGGTTTCTCTCTCTTTACTGCTGATAACGAGGAGATGATCTGGCAACGACGACGACGGAGCGTTTCCGCCCAGTCTTCTCGATGTTGACGACAAGCGGACCTGCACGTCGCTGAGCTCCTCATCGGCAACCCGACTGGCATCCGAACCGATGACGATACCACCATCACCACCGCCGCTACCCGAACGCTGAAGGAAAGGCAACAACGAATGAGAAGAAATCGAACAAGAGAAATAGTAGCGACGGAGCTAAATCGGTGTTCAAGAATTAGGAGCAGAGTCATCTCCTTGTCGAAATGAATTGATTCTAGCAGCGAAAATCAAACTTCCTAATCACGATGATAAACATGGGATGAATGACAATAATCTAAAGATTGCTGCAATAGTCTCAGCCAACGACGACTGCCTCGCAGGCGAATTTCAGGGGCACAATCACCCACTACATGATATTCGCCGACGCGAAAGGTCGAGCAAGAAACGGTCTGTGTTAGGTAAGCAGGTCATCCTCAGAAGCAGGAACGAACGGATCTCCGAATGGAGCGTCGAGAGTCCAGAGCACTACATGACCTCGGAATAACCCTAGGAGTCGATGAACTCAGCCGCCTGGCTTCATTCAAGTAAATTCGAAACATGCCGCCTCTTCAGCGATCGGGTATCGGTACATTCAGCGAGGCTCAAAGCTGGATGGTGAGTGTTCCGCCCATACATCGCGGAAGACTATGAGAGTTCCTGGTCTATATTGCCGGGATAAGGTGTGAGGTCCCTGCCATGCTCCCAGGCGTAATTCTAGTTCGACAACATGGGCTTCCTATCTTATCTCAAGCAAAGATCTAAGCACCAGAATTTCTTGCGCGACGCAGAACTAGTCAATCGATGACCCCACGAGTGGATGCAAACGCCGGGTACAGTTGCAGATTATGATGAGGAATCATTGTGTCGAGGCGGGCGGATCGTTCCTCCACACAGAACATGATTCGGTGAGGCCGGAAACGGGGCGGCTGGCTCACCATTGAAGTTCGGTATCTGTGATCTCAGAGGGAGTTCACAAGTGATACCTGGAGCGGGAGAGTGAAGCGTATCCGGAACGAAAGCACGCCTATCTGCCGGCTCCTGAGAGAGAATTTAAGCGGCAATGGACGGGGAAGGAGTGGGAGAAAAATCAGCTAGTACGAATCCTACGACGGGAGGTCTGCTGAAGCGCTCAACGAATCTACGAATCGATCGATCTCTAAGCATCCGTCTATCAACCAATCCAGGAGTTAATCAGCCATCGCTTGTGCTGAACGCCTGTCACGAACCTGTTCGGGAGATCGGCGCTTCTATTGGATTCAGGGTATCGTTCGATCGTTCCTCCCGATAGGAAGCGTTACGATAAAGAGTCGATGGGGCCGAGCATCAATCGACAGGTCCTGACTAGAGAAGATTTCGTTCCCATGTACACAGTCGAAACAGGGATTCAAGGCCGGAGGGGGAACGTCTTTGCGGTTGCTGCTAAACTAAGTCTCTCCAGCTCAGCTGACCTACGATTCGTCAGTCTATCCTGCCGGAGAAGGCTACTCTAGTCCAACATTCGTCCTCAGCCATGGTGCTGCCAGGAGTGAAGGAAAACATTCCGATTCGTGTAAAGTCAAAGTATCGTACCATTCAAGTTTATTTCTATTGATGTTTGTGGCTTCCTCAATCGCGAAATCGTGTGTTTAATGTTCAGCTGGCTTATTGTTCCTGCCCTCTCTGACTTTCGACCCAAGCTACAATGGGTCTACAACTCCAATTTCGGCTTCTGCTTTTGTTCCTCCGCTGGGTTTTGATGTATGTAGGGTGAAACTTGTCGCCTTGCTGTTTTCCTCGCCTGTATTGTACTTGAATTCGCGGTAGTCCGCCCGGTACCCCAAATTATTTATTGTCGGTTTCTAATTTCCTGTATATTACCGTGAGTGTTGCTGTAGGTGTGCACCTCAATAATTATTGTTCACAATATTATCCTCGGATCGGCGGGCCATCTACCTCATAGACATTTCGGTCAAGTGTTACCTGCGTTGACCGTGAGCCTGGTCGATTGAGAAGTCGAGTGATTCCTCATCCAAACTGAGGGATCGTCTCGCGATCGGGCTTTTTACAGATCGATGTCCGCAACCTAATGACTCAACAACCTGCCTTCGGTGCGTGGGTCATGATTTCGAGCGGACATGCTCATGACTGAGTTGGACCCATATCTTCGGGCTCAAATTGTTTGGGGTTTCTATCTCGAAAGCTCCGCTTGAACCGTGATCAGAGAATGGCCCTGTCTTGTTCTTGTAGATCATCTCGGATTTCAGGATCACTAGTATCAAAGTACTTCTTAGGATTTCTCCCTGCCCTGCCGTCGCTGTGTGAGACGGGATACACTACTCCCTATAGCATTTATGCTCTCGACATGCTGGCGCACGTTCATGTGATCTCACTCGATACTATGTACTGACTCGAATATACGCCCAGTCGTATGTATGATGCATGTCTTTTTTTGTGAGTTCGGTGCATCTGTGTCTCTGGACCGTTTGCAAGCGCAGGGAGGGGAGCTTTCCCTTTGAAATCTGCATTAGTGTTTCCCCGCTATGATCCCTCTGAAAGTCACACACTCGACTGCTTCATGTACATATGGATTCGTATCGTGCGTGGGAAACTCATCCAGCTGACTTTCATTGACGTGATGCCTACGCAACTGGGTTTTCGAGCCGCCTATGCCTGCGTGGTCGACCGATCGAGTCAGGAGAATGATTCTTTTCATTCTTCGCTCCATTCAATCCTCTCTTTCACTTAGTTCGGGTGCATATGTTAAATCGCAATGGAAGTGGAGACTTCCGTTTAAGTACCTACTGAGAATCCCTGGACCGCTCCTGAAGGCTCAATATTGTGTCTGAGAATCAGAGCTCCTCACTGGATGTTCATGCATGGCCAGTGGATAAGGCAGGAGTCTCTGTGGTTTTCTGACTCCTGATCGACGTCCAGACCAAACTCCATGGAGCTCAAGTATGGAGCTCGACGTTAGTAGTCTCCTATAGTTGAACGCGATGTATATTTGACATAATCGCGGCATAGTTCCATGTCTTGGTGTTGTTTCGTCGACAGCTATCGAGGGAAGATCATCAGGCATCTTCCCCTATGCTCCGAACCCTCAATGCGAGCAGTTTGAGGTGGGATTCCCAACAACGTTCGACTGAAGTCCCCCTCGTGGCATGCTCCAGACGTCTCCGAGGTTGGGAGAGTAATCGGCAACTTTCCGCGGAACGCGCGGAGACGCTTGTGTTGAAGTTCGACTTGATGCGACGATCAACACTCGGTTCCCGCATCATCATGTCGCTGCGGGAGACCGTTCTCCATCTGCTAGAGGGCTATAACAGTCGTCGAGGCGGTCCGGCCGTGGTCACGCTGTAGAAATATTCTGAATTGTCTAATGCTTGTGGTCTATTGATCGGTTCGGACTCTCAGGAAGCAACCGCGCTCTGAATCGATACACCCCATTATTGATTCATTCCGTAACTAGGCAGAACTGCTCGAATCGGCGAAAAATCGGATCGAGGAAATAGGAGAGAACCAGCATCTATTCTGCCTTCGATGGGATGGCCATGGGCGAAGCGTGCGAGTTGGGCTTGAAGAATGCTGCTCATCGCGCAACCCACTTACCTCTGTGCCGAAAATCGTGAGCTTGTTCGCAACTCAAAATCTGAATTCTCTAGGAGGGAAGAGGTGCCCGAGAGAAGTCGGCATCAACAGCTTCCAGGATGGAGAAAATTCAGCAGAATTGACTCGGCCCGGTGGGATGCAGGCCGAGTCATTAAAAAGCGTGTCTGCTATCCATGCCTCGGATTGCCGCTTGAGACCGACTCGGTCTTATGTCGATCTCGACAAAAAATTAGTGCTCCTTAAAATTATCGGATAAGATACGATCAGGAAAGGATACGTACATAATTCTCCCAGCACATTCGCCACCGACGTCGGTTAGGTAACGTGAGTCTTATATGACGCGCTTGCATCTAAAATATCGGAGAAAAACAGTACGATCAGCAGATATCGATTCAGGGTGGAGCCTCGACCGTAGATTCGCAACAATGGTAATATTCACTTCATCGTTATGACAGACATCTCATCGCCAAGACTTCATTAGAGGAGAGAATGAAGAAGTTGCTTGCAGATATATAATATTGGTAGCAGGGAGTCCGCTCAGAATAAGAGAAACACCAGAATGACGAGCCGCAAAGATCAAGTCCTGTGGGAGGTCTCTCCGACACATGGAAAGTGAATCGAGATACACATGTCCAGCTGTAGAAATTGGCGGGCAAGGGAAAGGTCTGAGAGATCGGACTAAAGATTGAGTGATGAGTGCTCCAAGTATAGCCGGGAGCTCCCAGCTATAGCCCAGCTATAGGAGGTGCGGCGAGAAAGAGGTTTCCGCAGACACGATTGTTTGATCGCTGTGCTATGAAGAAGAACGTCCGAGAGAAGCCCGACCAGGGACACCGAACCCTCAGTCGGCGGACGCTTGCTCCGTGCCGCGGCTCAGGATGGATAGTCTTGGTGCTTTTGCCAGTTTTTCTGCTCGAGAAGAAGTGTTGGTGAACATTTACGACATTTTCCCACACGTACACTGAGATTGAAGAAATGACAGAAGTCTCTACGCATGATCTTGGCCAAACATCGGCCTTCGGGTCCGTGATTGTGCATGTATTTCGACGGGAGGGCAAATTCAGTTCACAATGAATACCGTCCGATGCTGCATGTTTATTCGAATTACCAATATTCGCTCTTTTTGGAACACTGATATATCATACAGGGCAATCGCATCGAATATCTCATGATCAAAGATCGATCGATGGGTAAAACTAAGGTGACTATTGTGAAAGCACAGTTAGGTGGATGAATAGCAGGAATTGGATCGGGGTTCGATACCTTCTAAGCGGAAGATTGAATAATTCCCAAGAAATAAAGTTCGTGACAGGGAGTACGATCCAGTCTGAGAGGATTCAAACGCTCCTTACGCAGCTATGACAACAAATGAATGCTGGCGGAAAGAATTGTCTCTTCTCCTATGGAGGAAACGCCGAGAGAAGCCGAACTGAATGCTTTGCTGAGCCTCCGTGCTCACCTCCCCGCCTCCGCGAGCATGCAGAGAAAAGCGGGGAGTCTTCGTCAGACCAGGATACGACGCCTGCTTT